TCAAAAACGACCTCCAATAGTTTTTTAATTTTTTTAATTAATATATTTTATTATATATAAGTTTAATTAAATCGGGGGGTCGGAAATCGCAATAAAAATTTTAATTTTTTAAAAATATTTAAAAATATACGGTTAGCTAGTATTTACCCTACTTTAAACCCTTGTCCTCCCGAGACGTGTATGAGAATGTCCCTAGAAATCCGACTCCAGCTGTTCTCAAGGTCATCCAGCTGTGTAAACAATGACTCATCAGTGTCAAATTTCACAGAAAGGCGAGACAAAAGACGTTAAATTTTGAAGCTTTTCCTTCAAAATTAACGCATTTCTTTCGTTTTTTTCAGTTTTAAGTATTTTTTATGTTTAATTATAATTAATTAAAAATTGATCGGAAACTGAGTGGTTAATAAATATTATTTATTAATATTTTGTTGTAATATATATACAATATCGAAATAATTTAGAAAATGAATTTATATAATAACAATACTTATATAATATATAATAAATGAAATGTATTAATAATGTATTGAACTTTTTGGTTCAATACAGTCTTTCTCTCTTCAAGTTCTTTTCCTTTTCTTATCTATTTGTTTCTGATTATAATAATCATTGTAATTTGAGTGATTTAGACCCATTTTTTGATTCTGAGCAAATTCCTGTTTGGACGTTTTCTGGTATTGAACCATGCCTAGTTGGCGACCGCAATAAATACCACTATCATTTACTTTTGTACAATCTTTCTTCTTGCAGGCTTGTTTTACTCCAGACAACAACCATTCCAGTCGTTTTTCTTCCAATTTTTTGTCTTTATTATGTTCTTCTAACGTAGGAAGGTGAGCAGGTATAGATGCAGTTTGTGTATGAGTTCCAAGAGAGGTATATATGAGAAGATTTCTTCGATAAGATATGCCCTTTCTTGGAATGGCCATCGAAGAATTGCTTTGAAATATTTTTTCCGCATTCTCAGTAGTCTTTTCTTTAGCAGACTGATTAATGGAACTTTTCAATTGTATTTTTTCCATTATTCGTATACTAGAACTGTATGAACTGAAAATTTCATTATTCTTTGTCCTTTTACTTCTTATATTTGTAGAAATATTTGACGACTCAGGACAAGAAGTTTGTTTTTGAATATTTGGAGATAATTTGGAGTTTGGAATTGATGTTAAGCCAACAGATAGTTGATTTGTTGGCGTAAATGCTGAACCAGAACTAGAATTACTACGGCGACATTGCCGTTTTGAAGTTTTTGGTTCAATACTGTCTTTTTCTCTTGAAATTCTTTTTCTTGTTCTGTCTCTTTCCTTGTGATTATAATAATAATCGTAATTTGAGTGGTTGTGAGCAAATTCTTGTTTTGACCTTTTCTGATATCGAACCAAGCGTAATTGGCGTGTGGAGTCCTTTCGACTCCTTCGACGAACATTTATTATTTTGAAAATATACACACCAATCTCAATCAGAGTGTATATGATAGTTGATAAACACCATATAGGTAGAAACAATTGGACTCCGATAAGGATTAATCGGCAATATCCATAAAGTAGCATCGTTAATCTGCAAACAAAAAAATTAATTTTATTAATTATAATAAAATGGTAAAAAGCTTAATTTTGTAGGTACAGATGAGTTTTATAAACAATTCTAAATTCTAATAAAGAGTAAAATGTTCATTAAGTCCGACTCCCTCTCGAAATACGACAGATTTAACAGGTTTACGAGGCCGTTTATGGTTTGACCAATGGTAATTTGTCTAGATGAAGATATTTGTGCTTGAGGTTCGCAAAATGCATCTCTTTCTGAAGCTTCTATCTTTTGGAGGCCCCAAGAATGCGCTTCTTATGCCCGTACAATAGTAACAAGGAGAAACTGCATGATTGAGAATGGCTATGGGAAGAAAATCCTTTTCCTGTACTATCACCAGTGGCGTAGCGTGGGTGTCAGCCGCCAGGGGCGGAGGAAAATTTCGCCCCCCCCTTCTTTAGGTATCTCAATTTAAAAGATTAAAATTCAGTTTCATTACAGAACAAGTAATGAAAAATTCCGTGCTACTGTTGCGTTCTCCCCATATATTAGATTCTGTATGTCTTCCTTTCTAATGTTTTTACTGACAGAGTATGCAGTAGACCGTCGATTATCCGAAAGTCAATTATCCGAAAGAATTCCAGTCGGCAAATTTAAATTATCGCCAGTGCTGTGGCGCTACAATCTTTGGCCATGTCTTGGGCTACTCAAATATTTTACGTTTTTGATACTAAATTAACTTNATCAACGATCTTATAGGGGGTCGACTGTATATTCTCTGAATCTTTCTTGTATTCAATTGTATACAATATACAGTAATTAATACATTAATAAAGATCAAAATACTTACAATATTCAATTAAAATTGACGCAATATCAATAAATTAAGTAAAATTTCTTTCCGAAACGCAGTTACTCGACTTTCAACAATGCAGGACAACAATAGACTAACAATAGGATATTTGGTATTGTTGAGAAATATTTTTTTTACGAATTATGAAAAATAAATTTTTTGTCTTTTATTTATTCCTTTTGCTAAAATTAAAAAAATCAAGCAACGAGTTGCGTAACTTTTCGGCTGATATCAGAATTTATTTTAAAAATAACTGTTATATTATCAAATATAACAAATTTAATTGTGTGTAGCGCCATCTGTTAGTAGATTTTGTTATAAAAAATATTTTATATTATTAATTATAATAAAATGATAAAAAGCTTAATTTTGTAGGTACAGATGAGTTTTATAAACAATTCTAAATTCTAATAAAGAGTAAAATGTTCATTAAGTCCGACTCCCTCTCGAAATACGACAGATTTAACAGGTTCACGAGGCCGTTTATGGTTTGACCAATGGTAATTTGTCTAGATGAAGATATTTGTGCTTGAGGTTCGCAAAATGCATCTCTTTCTGAAGCTTCTATCTTTTGGAGGCCCCAAGAATGCGCTTCTTATGCCCGTACAATAGTAACAAGGAGAAACTGCATGATTGAGAATGGCTATGGGAAGAAAATCCTTTTCCTGTACTATCACCAGTGGCGTAGCGTGGGTGTCAGCCGCCCGGGGCGGAGGAAAATTTCGCCCCCCTTCTTTAGGTATCTCAATTTAAAAGACTAAAATTCAGTTTCGTCACAGAATAAGTAATGAAAAATTCCGTGCTAGTGTTGCGTTCTGCCCATATATTAGATTCTGTATGTATTCCTTTTTAATGTTTTTACTGACAGAGTATACAGTAGAGCGTCGATTATCCGAAAGTCAATTATCCGAAAGAATTCCAGTCGGCAAATTTAAATTTTCGCCAGTGCTCTGGCGCTACAATCTTTGGCTATGTCTTGGGCTACTCAAATATTTTACGTTTTTGATACTAAATTAACTTCTGAAGTATAATTTTTTATTGTTTTTATATATTTCAATATATTTATTTTGTTTGNTGATATTTACAGTATTTTTCTTCTTATTAAAAAACAGACCTTATTTAAAAAATAGCCCTTGTATATTTCCACTAATTAAAAAACAAGTAGTACAATATAAGCAACCTTCTAGTAACATATTGAAAAATTTATTAATAAAAACACAATCCTTAAGATTTTACATAATATGTTTTAATTATAAAATGAATATATTACCAAATTCCTACTGCCAACATCACCAAGATACACAACAACATTCATTTCAGGAGCCCACTGACTAAATTCACGTTGCCAAGAAGCCATAGTTGACAATGGAACTACTAGTAGAAATGGTCCAAACAAACTATACTGATGAAATAAGTATGACAAAAAGCATATTGTCTGTATAGTTTTTCCTAATCCCATTTCATCAGCAAGAATAACACTATTTTCCCTATATAAATAATAAGACAAAGAATTAATAATTGTAAATAAATCATTTATGTCAATTTTAATTAAATTTAAAGAAAAAATTAAAATTTAATTTCAATATATATATTAGTGATGGGACAATTAATCGGAATTAGAAATATCTCGTTACAATTTCAGATTCTTAAAAATAATTCTTCCACATTTATAAGAAAATTAATTTTTATTTCAGTCAAAGATAAAAATTTTTTCAAATTATGATATTAACAATTAAATACAGTAGAGCATCGATTATCCGAAAGAATTCCAGTCGGCAAATTTAAATTTTCGCCAGTGCTGTGGCGCTACAATCTTTGGCTATGTCTTGGGCTACTCAAATATTTTACGTTTTTGATACTAAATTAACTTCTGAAGTATAATTTTTTATTGTTTTTATATATTTCAATATATTTATTTTGTTTGTACAAAATAAAAAAAACAATTTTTAACGATACAATAGTCTTTGTTAGGCTTAACATCGACGAAAATTCAACGCGAAGCGACACTCAACGGAGAAAAATTTCAACATGGGATAAATTAATATATTTTTCGTACATAATCGGTTAACCGAAATATCGATTTACCGAACAACCCCAGTCCCCAATTGATTCGGATAATCGACGCTCTACTGTATTATAATATGTGGCCATCNTACTTCAGATGTTAATTTAGTATCAAAAACGTAAAATATTTGAGTAGCCCAAGACATAGCCAAAGATTGAAGCGCCACAGCACTGGCGAAAATTTAAATTTGCCGACTGGAATTCTTTCGGATAATCGATGCTCTACTGTATTTTATAAATAAACATACCCACCGCTTCTCGTCTTCAATGCTTTTGTGACTCATCAAATTTAAACTCTAGTCTAACCAATGATCATAGCATCGATCGCTTTTCCCTGGAAATATCAATATTTGTCGCACCGAAATCAACAAATTACCACCAGGTCAGTTTTTCAACTGTACCTGCCGTCCATTGCCATTACTGGTCTGCTGTTGTCTGTAAACAAGCCAACCGACATCTTCCAAAAACCTTATGATCTCAACCAAGGACCGAGAAGCGATCCATTTGGTAGTTGGAAAATTTTTTTAACATGATCTGCAATTTCTTTGCCATTTTAATAATACTGTATTGCTTCAGAATTCGTCATGGCCAAGGTTCAGATAGCAAACTGGAACACGTGGTTAAACTTTCAACGGTGAGGTTTACAACATGCTCTACGACTGAGAATAAATGTTGTACTGTTAGTAAATAACACGTAACCATCAATAGTCAACTAATCATGCTTGTTTTATTGGGCTGCAATTGAAAAGATTAGACATAAATTCCCACTGACTGTCTGCCCTTCCTTAAACTCGAGAACGGAGTTAAATAGATGAAAATCAAGACCAGATATAGAAAGCTTAGGGGCAGAAGGCCCCAATTAACTATATACGAACTTCCGGTTTGGATCGGAAGTCACGTTATTTCTATTCAAAAATTTTCTCCTGAACCGAGATGACCGACACGACTATTGCTAACAGAAAAGTATGTCAGTACTGTACTGTAATGACGGCATGCCATTACTGTACAGTAATGGCATGCCGTCATTGGAAGCGGTGGATACACCGCATCCCTTGTATTTTCTAAAAAATAAATACATATTAATTTTAATTATCTGAAAATAATTGCACAATATTTTATTATAACTGCATTATGTATCTTATTACGNCGGTTAACTGAAATATCGATTTACCGAACAACCCCAGTCCCCAATTGATTCGGATAATCGACGCTCTACTGTATTATAATATGTGGCCATCTCTTTTTCGATCGGTGCGTGGTGAGTTCCGGTATGTGTTCCTCGATGCACTTTGCCAAGGTGTCAGCATCTTCTCTGCCCCCCAACTCAACAGCAAGACCACCATTGCCAATACGTCGTATCCTGTCGATTCCGATTTTTAGACTAGGTTTTATTTTATCCTGAATCAATTTACGAACGGACTCACTATTGCCAGTTTTGTCTCTGCCATAGACGAGAATAACATCCTTTGAAAGAGTGGAATTCTGAATCCTGAGTTTATTTTCCGCGGAGCCTCTGGACTTGGCCCGCCCCTCAGAGTGGGGCGGGAGGGACGGGGTAAGAAGTTTTGGATTCGAACTCTTTTAACTTATTTAACACGGCTTCCTGAGTGTGGCTAAGGCTTTCGTCCACTCTTTCCAGTATGGCTTGTTGGGCATCTTGGATGACGGTAGGGCTAACCATCTTCACAAAATCCTCCTTGGTGGCAAGAGAAGACAGTCTATGTTCAAGAGATTCAGGTAGACTGAAGTTTTCGAAGGTCTGGACGGCCAAGTTAACTATCTTGGTGAAATGTTCAGTTATCTGACGGACGGGTTCATTGGCACCAGTTTGCCATTGTAATCGCTGGCACAGTAAGCCTTAAGATCATCAAGCACTGTCAGTGAGCCTTCACAACAGTAGCGTAGCGTAGTGGGGGCGGCAGGGGCGGCCCGCCCCGGGCGGCACGTTTTAGGGGGCGGCAAAATTTCACAATAAATAATAATATCTTATAAGAATTTGAACCATTTTATTTCATATCTTCGTCCACCTACAATTCGGACTGATTGAAATGAGCACGGAATAGTGTTACCATCCGGATAGTCCGGGAATCGACTCGCCGTCCGGGGGATATTGTGCGCAACCTGTCGACCTTTCTTTTTTCTTTTTCATTTTTTTTTGCTTGTACGATCTATTCATATATATATACATCTCCAATATCCAATAGAGCTAGGTCACTTACTCCTATCCAAGTCTCCCTAGTCGCTAACTGTAACTGATTTAGAACCAGCATGCGCTGCACATTATTCTTCGCATTGCAAAATGACATTTCGTCAGGAACTTCTGTTCGAACAAACCTCACCTGCCGTCCGGGTCAGCGATTTTAAAAAGGTGGCAACACTAGCACGGAATTTTTCATTACTTATTCTGTGACGAAACTGAATTTTAGTCTTTTAAATTGAGATACCTAAATATGGGGAGGCGAAATTTTCCTCCGCCCCGGGCGGCTGACACCCACGCTACGCCACTGCTTCGCAATGTTTCCGGACAAATGATACAACGAAGCATAAACACTCCTAGTTACTTTTAATATAAACTGAACCAATACAAGTTGAACAGATAAAAAATCGTCATCACACCATGCAATACGTAGACGCCATCTTTTCGTCTTTTTTCTCTCTCGTTTCTAAAACCAATAAAAAAAAAGTTATACACGCGCCCCCTGCCCAAACATACACTTTTTTTCTGAACTAATACGAATGATTCCGAACAAGCACCTTGAAGAATTCTATCTTAAGTCTTTGATGACGTTGGTATCCATGATAAGAACTAGGAACTAAGTGTGGGAAGGGGTTGTTTTTTTGTTTTTTTGTTTCTTTTTTACTCTTTTTGCCCTGTGGGCACTAAGAGTGCCTGTTTTTGCAAGCCCATTATGGGTTCGGCCAGGCCCACAATGGGGCTGCCGGGTGGTGAGGGACGGGGCCCGACATATCCGAACGGACCACCCCCGAAAAATTCCTAGGGATTTTTCGACCCGTTCGGATTCGAGACCGGGTCCCCCAGAGCGGTAGGCTGCCACCTTGAC